TTTACGCAAATATGTCTGCGTCATCACCACTTGCTAGGAAATACAGCCAGGTAGGTCTGACAATTCAGGCACTCGCTGCCAGCGATGTGCCATCCACTAATCGGCCATTGCTCGTTGAGGTGCACACATGGTGCTGTGTCCTATTTCTTCGTGCACATGTACGGGGTAGGCCAAAGGCACCTGGAACCACGCTTGGCGCTCATGCTGCATTGTGCGCAGAGTATCATTGATGCAAAGCCGCACAATACTGTGTGCAACGCCCGTGTGTTCTAACACACTAACGCTAAAGCATTGACACAGCGTTCGCACACGCATAAATGCTTGTCAATTTCGACTTACGAGCATTTTCTGAAGCGTCGCTCAGCACTGAATCACAGACTATGCACCCGCAATATTGCACCATCGTCTATCGCTTTTCCCTCCAGGCGACGATGCAGCTGGTGGCTGATAAGACCCACGGCCCATTGTCGTGACCAAGAAACGCTGCTTCACAGCAACCCTCTCACACCCGAGACTCCCCTCCAGTTCCAGAAATCGAGCAGTGCGGCGCATCTTTTGTGCATTATCTGTAAATGCGAAAGTGGTGGAAGCCAGTGCCAGTGTCGTGTGGCTTCCCGCCGCTTCATGATGGGGCCGGGAAGTTGATAACCTCATGCCCATCATGTTGAGTCTGTCCGCAACCTGGTGCCATTTCCAGTGAATCCACGCGTCGATGCCGTGGAGCACATGACGTGGCGGCCAGGCAGGAGGGCGCGGAGCCCCGCTGTTGCTGCAGGGTTGCGATGGGCCCATTGGATGCGCCCCGGCCGCTCCACGAGGACGGAAAGTTCGGTGGTGACCGCACGCAATGGTGATCATGCACACCAAAGGCAGGCAGGCCGTGGACTGAGAAATGAACTGAACAGTTCGAATGCCATCCGGGGCTTGCCTGCGGCGGCCAGGCGGAGAAGGTCTTTTTGCTTGCCGCGCCCTCCACAGGTGAGGCCACCTTGAGGATCTCTATTGGTGTTTCAGCGCTATTCCAAGCTTGAAACTGAGGTTATGCGTCGATGAAGTCCTCGGAGTCGCCTCTTCTATTTCGGTGTGGTCGAGCCCACTACCCTGCTGTGAATGCCAAGATTAAAGGCCGGCTGAATCTTCGCGCAAACCGCATGACGTCACATGAGAGCCTCGCCCACTGGAGCGCCACCGTTTTTTAGGGCATCGGGCCAGTGTGCGTGTGACTGACGCACAAACGCCAACCGGCAAGCGTCGCGACTAGGCAACCCACCCACGGGCATGCATCTCATAGAGGCAAAATTCCTCCACAAGCGCCCCAAACCGTGTCCTGCCGAAAACATCTGTGCGTTCGCGACTTCGGCCCTGGCGAAACAGAAGACCAACAGGAGGGCACAAAACGTGGGGCAACGCCGTCAGTTGCACTGTGTCCTCTCAACCCTCACGCGGCAGTGCGACGTCCCGCCGGCGTACCAGCCTCCAATTAACCAACACTGCACTCAAAAAGCGCACAGCTTCACGCAGCGGTTCTTGGTCGGTGTTGCGGATGCGTTCCGGACCGGCCAGAGCACTTCGCGTCCAATTCCGACCTCGGCTCACCAGCAAGGCAGACACTCGCAGCCATCCATGACTTGGAGCCCAGGCGCCAGTGCGCGCAAACGCAGTCATGCCTCGGCCTGCGTGGTGGACCATCCCAGCGTCTGGCCTCGCCGGCACCCTTAGAGCCGGGGAATCGGCGCGGTGCGCCCGCCCTTGCAGTCTGCGCCTTGTAGCTTCCCCGCTGGAAGCATATAGTAGCGTTGGTATGCCAGTGGCGCATGAATTCGGAAACGAGCCCAGACTGATATTCGGTTCCTGGGGGCCCAGCGCCCGGCGGTGGGGCGCTCTGGACGGCTGCGCTGTACATGTGTGTCAGGGAACCTACCACGTTGTGCTTGATCGTGTTGTGTAAGGACTGGCTATGACAGGCCAAAGTTGCCACGAAGAATCCCTTGCAAGTTGAGGGCTGCATGCACGACAGGTGCGGCCACGCAAACCCTGGTTGTACTGTGAAGTACGGTGTTGTGCTGCGGACCCAAAATTCCCCCATTGGCCCTCCCCCGTTCACCAACATCTGGGAACCTGGGCAGTCTAACTTCACCATTGATGTCATTTATGCAACCATGCCATTGATGCATTGGTGGGGAGCGTTGAAGCAGCGTCCATGGATGAATAATGGCAAGGACTCGTGTGGATGCCAGCGATGCCTGGAGTTGGCTGCACGGACATTGCCGGAGCGATGATGCGTCATCCTTCAATGACAATGTACCATCTGCGCCCTGGCGGCACCGTCCCAATTTCTGGATCCACTTGTCGCCTATACGCTGCGCACGTCGCCCTGTGCTCCCGATCATGAGTCGCAAACTGCAGAACTCCTGTCGCTTTTTGAAGCTACCCTTGGGGCCAATGCCAGAGGCGTAGTAAATTCAGTTCCAAAACTGATTGCAACACCTGGCGTTTGCATCCTGTACATACGACAACGGAATTCTGCCTGATGGTGAGCCAGAAGTGGTATGTCAACGACTGAACTGCAAGATTCCCTCTCCATACACTTCTTTGCCACTGCTGCTATTCGGTATCCTCCTTACACCACCGCTATTCTCCCAGATTTACCGTGTGTTTCATAGGATACGATGATCGTATTACGATCACCAGTTCCTTCCATTTCCCTCTCCATCTATTTGGTCCCTGGACGGTCCGTGTAGCGCACCTGACCATTCAACACTTCCTTAGTACATTGTTTTACCACCTTCTAATCCCTTACCCAATGCATCTTTTCCGTTTACGACACATGCTGATCAAGGATATTGCAAAATCCTTGATTGCTGAGTGCTCGCCAGTCCAACGGCATTGGGTCCAGTTACAACAACATTACAACATTCGTTTGTCGATGCCTCGCCCTTGCAGAACCACATGCACATGGCCGCCCACGCCCTCTGACTGGCTCCTAACAAAACAATAAGCGACCAAGACAACCAGCCTCCGCATTTGATATTGAGCGCTTCACACCAAATAGTGGGATTTCACAAACCATATGGTGACGCTCAAATTGTGCATAGTATCCTGGCCGACATTTGTTTGCCGTTGGCATGCGCGCCATGCAGGATCTTTGGCGCTCCTCTGGCTCTATTCCCTTTCACACCAGCATGTATCACCGGCTCTCTGATTTCGCACGATACCTGCACACATGTCTACGTACGCAGCCACTCCAAGGTGCTGATATTGTCGCCGTTGTCCAATCCGCAGAGCCCCACAGGCTGCCGCAGGTCCCCAAGACCGTGTTCAAATCTGTATGCTGCGATTTCCTTTACGCTAAATATTGCCTCAGCCCTCCCCCTCCCTCCAGTCCATCCTTTTTGGTAAGGGTTTTGAGACTTCCATTGAGAGTTGTTGGCATTATCTTGTGGCTTCCGCGCAATCTACTATTGGGAATAACTTTTAGCTGGTGACTTCCTACTATCCTTCTATACTTGCGCAACAATAGGCGAACAGCCTTCCGCTTGCAGCCTTTATGGAACATTCTGTTAGCTTGCGTATCAGTTGCACATTTTGCCCTTTGTTTCATTCAACCTTCAATGCATCTACTCCTAGTACTTCGTCTTCCGCGGCTGGTTCCTTTAGGGGTAGACCAGCTCTTGTCCACGACTATACAATCGCCAGGCAGCAATTCCAGTGCTGCACCTTGTTGGGTGCCCAAATCGGTGCCTCAAACGTTGCGTTCAACGTTCTTCTCCGTTCATTCCCATCCAGGGAAGCTTCAACGTACCACATTTAAGGCACATCCTTGCTCCGGTAGACGCCATCGAAGGCACTGATAGTTCCATAGCTGGCTTGGTCCAACAAGCTCACACGACACCAGCGAGGCATCGGGTCAAAATCTCCATGTGCCCCAAATGGACCCCTCCACCCCCCAGTGCATCCACCCCCGCCTTCCTGCCCCCCAGCCCCCACTCCGCCCAATTTTGACAGAGCTCAATACTTATTCGCCTCCATGGTGCGGATCCAGTCCGCAGATTGTCATTACAATGCTAATGGCAGTAACGGCCGTGCACGGCACAGTCCACTATCCCCTGACGCGCAGCATACCGAGGAGCCCGTGGCCAGGCTGCCAAAGTCGCCTGCCCCAGGCACGGCAACGCGGGGGACAAAGCCCACACGGACGCGCACATGGGTACCAGGAAGTGCAAAATGTAAACACGCTTAAACCGATGGCACACACGCAATGTTGTCCTCACTCGCACAGGTGCAAGCTCGCCGACACCAACGACCTTGAGCAGCGTGAACGAGAAGAACGTTCGACCATGGCCCACTGCAGGCCAATGAATCTCTATCGAAGAATTGAAGCGCGATAATGGGCACATCATAGGAGCATGTCCAGGCACTGGGGATACACAGGCACCTAATCTCACGTCATTGCACCGTTTGTGAACGCAGGATGTCCGCCTTATGAGACATCATCTGTTGCAAATCAGTTTTGCCAGTCCAGCTCCTAAGCCTGCCAAACTCAACGGCGGGAAACCCCAGCGTTGGCTGCTACATCCCATCAGGGAAACGCAATCAGTGAAATTCAGAATGAAAAGAATTCCCACAAAGTATTTGACCCTTTTTGGCGATGGGGCATATCAGGGCGCTCTCCCAGATGTTTGCTTGTCGCTGTTCCGCAAGTCTGGCGACTTTTCAACGCCGCTCTGTTCACCACACACAGCGCATGCAACCCACCATAGTCCATAGCACTGTCAATCGCCTCAATCGTCCGCAGCCCTTTTGCAAATACTGTGATCACAACAATCCGAGAAGTGCAGCGAGTCCCACACCCTACTATCTATATAGATACCTCAAAAGTCTTGAAGTACTTGCAGTTGCAGCAGCGCATCAAATCACCTCATCCGCAATCCTTTCAAATAAGACCATGATCTGAACGAGCCACGACCATCCTTTGAATCACTTCTGTAGTTAAGATTCTTTCACACCATGTCCACAATTTGAGCGTAACGTGACGCCGCCCTGCAGAGGTCCTTGTCCATGTCCCGCATCCCCCTCCCGTCGCTTGTGCACTGTGATCCTTGGGCCATGGGCATGCTCTCGCTGTCACCGAAAGGGACGTACAGGGAGCCCTGAATTGTGGCGGGCGCCCACTCTGCCGAGGTGTCTGGCACCCAGTAGGAGCCCTGGATCGTCACGGACGGGCTGAACCCATGGCCAGATTCAGCACACCTGATGTCCGGTTGCAATATGCAAAAGAGTGTCAAGGATAAAGGGCAACGAAAACAAGACTAACTACAAACTACAAACAAGGTTGACAGTTGAGTACTTCGCTTCTTGGCTAGTACTTCTGCCACTTTTCCACTCGTGAGGTCCTGCAATGGCGCCTGGACGTATCGGGAAGTTCGCAACTGCAGAAGGACAAAAATGCAGGTCCGCATTTGTCAAGAGAGAATGCGCAAGATACTTGAAAAGGAGACGAACAACTCGTTCTCAGAGAGAGACACAAGCCCACACAGACATGACACCGTCTGGCTAACACAATGCCAACTCGCCTTGACCAATGTTACCTTTCCTGATCGCACTATACTTGTACACAACGACATGTAGCAATGGAGCCAAATCACACAACCAAACTGCATTTCTTGGTCAGCTACTGTGGGTGGCACCTTTGGTCATCATCTGCGTACTCCTGGGACGCCTCCCAGGCGGATGTAAACACCTCCAGAACCTCCCTGGCTTGGGGCCTCTCGTCAGGGTTGAATGACAAGCACTGCCGCAGCATGGATGCTAGTGGCGGGGGCAGGCCCCGTGGGATTCGCGGAACTTGACCTTCATCTTTGACCTGGGTGGTGAGCAATGACCAAATCTTGCCAAGATTATCCCCGACAAATGTTGCAATCTGTCATTCAATCTAGTCATGCAATAAAGGAGCAAGAAAGCAACATACTTTAGGTGTGAACCATAAAAAGCAACAGTTTCTGCTGTGTTGCATAAAGAGGTCATCCAGCACAACAATATGCTGGCACATGAAGAGCTGCAACTGTAGATGCCATGAACCTTGATGCCTCGTGCTCCTCAAGTCAGGGAAATTATATCGGATCAAGCCAACACATCTAACGAGTGCTCCTCCTGCCCATAAGGTAACCCAATATCAGCTAATCGCATATAAAATAGCCATGCTCTTTCATTTTTGATCCAGACAATGGACATGCAAGCTTGTGCAGAATGCCAACATCGCCCTGTCAACAGGAGTCCAAACATTAATCTGAAAAGACAACAACTCACCTTTGTGGCAATCGCCTGCACCTCCAGGCCATGCCACGGGGGCAGCCCTGTGTACAGCTCGATGATGACGCACCCCAGGCTCCATATGTCTGTCTTGGTGGACATGCCACCCATGGCCCCCGGGTCCCATGCCTCAGGCGCCATGTACGATGGGGTTCCTTTGGCAGCTGTCACCACTGAGGCCCCAGGCCCCGGATCAACGAAGCTGGCCATCCCAAAGTCAGCGAGCACGACGTGATCGAGGTCATCGATGAGGACATTAGTCGGTTTGAGGTCTTGCATGATCACGCCCTGTTCATGGAGCTCGACAAGACCTTTGCACACCTGGAAGAATAAACCACAAGTAATTGCATGAGTCCACAACAGGACAATGCACAACCACTTCCAGCAGCTCAGGCCACTTATGCATTTGTGACTGTTTTTCTGCCGGGATTCATGCCTGTTACTGCCTGCAAAGTTCGGGGCAATATATTTTGTCATTTCTAAACCAATGCAATCGAAGCAATTCGGACCACCCTTTGAGCTTCTGGGCAATGTCCAGCACAAACCAGGTTGAGCAGAGGAACGCAACCTCGCAAATGTGCCCAAACCTCAGAAGCATTCAAAGCTATCATGTTTGAATAATGCACATCCGTGAATCCTGGGTATACGGAAGTTGGCAGTTTGCAAACCGATTCGATTTGGAGCTTGACCTTAAGATAGAGATTATGATTCTGTGAATAGGCTTGTGCCTCTGATCTCATGGTGGGCTTAAGGGCAATACTGTAAAATATTCAACCCTTCCGCATCAGAAATTCTCACCGTTACACTTTTTGCTCTGCATTTTGTTTTCCAGGGCATTATTCTAATACTTTTTATGTTGCTCCGCAGAGAATGCCATGATTTGCATTATTATTTATATTATCTTCTCCGAAAAAAGGCCAAGCATTACGTTATTATGCTGAAGGGTTCAATATTTTACAGTATTTAAATTTTGACAAATGACCTTCTACAGTGGCCTTTCAATATGCTGACAGCAGGGAAGAACTTGACTGCATCCTTATACACGGCACCATCCTCATATATGCCACCCAAGCCATGGTCGCTGGTCGCCACTGAGAACCAACATCAACACAGCTTCGTGGTACAACAAACAACAACAAGATAACAAATTTGCATACCTGGATGCCGTATTTCTTAATGTCACAGAGGGCCATGTGACCACGGCGCTCGGCCAGCTGGTCGTGCAGGCTCTTCTTGTACAGCTTCATCACGATGCATACGCGGCTGTCCTTACAGGCCACACCATAGAGGCGGCACACGTGGTGGCAACGTGTGGAGACACGATGGAAGATGGCAGCCTCTGCCTTCAGCATCTCTGCCAGGCAGCCCCGGGCCAGGAAATCCTCCGATAGCAGCTTGACAGCGACCTGATCAACACAGGCAGCAGGACATAGAGGACATCGCACCATTGATGAAAGTTGTGGTATGGCAGTACCGATGCAAGTTGCCACTTTTGTCTCACAAGATGTCACAAGGCACTGGCCTTCAGTGATTGGCACATGCCTGTTGCATTTCTCAATTCTCACAACTGGTACAGTTGTAACAGCACACAACAAAACATTGCTTTCGCGCATGGAGAGGAGATTGACAGGCATCGACCTGCCTGTGCCTGGGGGCATTCGTCGATGTTGGTGGATGTAGGCAAGGTTGGAAATACAGCACAAGCAATATGAAGTTATGAACTAGGATTGACCTGCTGTTGACTTGTAGACAGTTTGCTGTTTGCTGCAAGGATGACGGTGAAATAGTGGAGATGAGGGTTCTCTGCCCAGAACATCTTGAATGGGAGAGAGGCTCTCAAACCAGACTCGTTGAAATCGCTTGAAATCAGCTCGTTAAAAGCAAAAATATGTAAAGCAACCCATGCATTGAACAGTTGAGTGAATGGCCGCAATCAACAATTGAAAGTTCAAACTGGTGAGGAAGACTCCATCAAGACAATTTTCCAAGAAAACTGGAAAAAAAGTCACCTTTCAGAACAGGGCAACCCAGCCAGATTGTGACAAGCAACCAGTCTGTGCGGAGCCAATCAGTTGACAAGCAAGCAACCCACATCAAATGTGTTATCCACCCTTGCTGCGCATAATCGACCAAATACACTCACCGGCAGTGCTTGAAAAGCGAAATTGTGTCAGATTCACTTCCGGACTACTTGAGATTTCTTTAGACATAAACAGTGCCTTGCATCGGAACAAAAGCTTATGATATGTCCATGTCCCAATTTCTCAGGTCCACAGCCCCTCTCTCACAACTGCTAGACAGAACGTCAAGATTATATTATCACACAAGCTGACCCTGTTGAGGTACTTTCCATGTCCAGCACGTTGCTTTCCATGTAACTGTCATGGGCACTTCAACCACTCTCCACCTCCATACCTCCTCAATATGGTTGCCATCCCTTAGTTCCCCCAGCCAAATCTGCCCAAACGTGCCCTCATTCAATTTCCTCACAAGGTGAAGATTGTCGGACGCAATGTACATCGAGTTTCCTGGGCCAAATTTCTTCCTGTCCCCCCTTGGATCCATGTCGGCCAATATGGCCCTAACGTCCTCCTCTGCTGTTGGCTTCTTTTGGCCGCTGGGCTCAGCATGGGCGATCCCTATGGTGCCCAGAAGGGAAGCTGCACAACACTGCCAGTCAGCCAAACAAGACCCCGATTGCATGCCGCTCCAGCATTAAACGTTCACCTTGCTTCAACCCTGGGTTCTTGCCATAGCGCAATCTGCCAAATGTGGTGCAAGAGGGATTGAAACGCCGCATTCCTTTGCCATGAACGCCATAATCAGCATTAGACATGTTGGCACCCACAGTACTGTGAACTGCATGGATGCCACAACAATACACACAAGCAGTCAAGCAAACAGTGCAGTCTTGTGGGTGGAAGGGCACGACTCTTCAGTGGTACAACTAGCACCAATACTGGATTCTACCCAGCCCGTCACCAAGTGAGGGCAGATATTGGCCTGTGTTTGTATGTAATCCATCAGATCATTGGTACCCATCCATCCTTGCCATGGGCAGAAGAACACGATGTGGATGGACACAAGTCTTTATATATTGCACAGGACATCAGGACAAAGAGAGAAGAGATATCGTTGTGCCTGTCTGTGCATCTGCTTATCCACATCTGAGGCACATTGTCATACATCATGTCGGTCAAAGAAGGTCATTTGCAAAGTTTCTACGATTCACATGGCTTAGGGCTGGTCGCCTCAGTCAGTAAAAGAAGAAAAACATTGGCAATTGCTAATGGATGCGAGCTGCACCTGACGATCTTCTGATATTCTGATGATGTAGGGTTTTGGAATTTCATTTGACAAGAATTGTGATACCTTGATCAACTGCTGGCAAATGACACCGTCAGATCAACTGTTCAGTGTAGACACAAGCCGTGGTTCAGTGGAGACACATGCCAAGGCCAGTGTGTCCTTTCCACAGTGCCCATAAGAATGCCGCCATTCCTCTTTCTCATCAAGTACCACTGCCATGCCAGTCACCGAATTCAACAGACCCCGCCACGATCTGAATGTAAGGGTAAACGAATTGTGACAAAGTCGCTGAAGTGAGCTCACCTGCCAGTGTGGTGAAAATTATGGGAACAACATGAAAAGGTGAGGTTCCCCTGTCCTCTGACAAAGAGCGCCTAGCGGCAGCGCTCCAAATCTTTCTCCAGGCCAGTGATACGCAGAACAGTGCTCCACTCTGGCCATGGGCAAGAGATGATGTTGGTGCCTGGCAAGCACAACAATCAGTAACGGCAGCTAAATATCGAAACTATATCAAGTTGAGTTGAATCCAATGGAGTTGAGGTGAAACCAAACCACATGTTCACTAACAACGATTACCAAACACAACTTTGCATCACCAATAAGACCATGTCAGGCGCTCTGCACAAGCACGAGTGGTGGTGGCATGCACATCCCCATTCTATTTTTATCCCTGTTCCCCTACTACCATCACCATTTGCACAAGCTTTTCACCCTAAAGCCATAGACTAGAGCACTGACTTGCTGCCCGTGGCGGCTTGTCAGGAGACAAACACCTGACATCACTATGCAGGACGAAATCGGGCATTTGCACTTGTTACAAAAGGCTGGCTGTGCTCATGATGTTCTTCTCTATACACAACAAGCCACTTGGGCTAGCCAGCAATCCAAGTCAACATGCATGCGCAAAAGGGACGTGTAAAGATACAACCAGCTCCACCGAATTCACCCTTCAGAATCGCCACCAAATCCAGCTGGCAGAACCTTTTTGCTGAATACCACACTGACTTCAATTATCTCAAAAGAGGTTCTCGGAGAGTTCTGGAGAGAATTTGGAGGAAATCATCAACGGAATTTCAACAGGAAATTTGGAGCCATACCTGTGAGAAGTATGATACAAACGCCTGCTCCACAGGCCTCTCCAGTTGTGCTGAACGCCGCAGCAGCTGCTGGGTCAGTCTGCGGCCTGCGCCTTGCCACATTGCTCTCTGCAGGCATCACACATCAATATTGACAAACTGCCCATGGCGTCTCTTCATAACACCAACCCTACCCTGCGATGGCCTTCATGGCTGAAAGGCAGTGTCTTATGCAGTGGAAAGATGACACCAAACTGTAATTCACCCCATCCGCACACAAAGGGTGCCTTGGCTGAGTTACATGGTATACACGCCTGCTGGATTCATTGGGCAGCAGTCCTTTGCGATTTTCCTCTCTGGGGTGGTGTTTCTGGGGCCCAGGTTTCTGATTTTTATCGGGTCAATGGGCCTGTGGTGGGCATGGACAACAGGGTTTATTTCCATTATCAGTTGTAAAAGCCCGGGACAGTCAGATAACAGTAAATTCGCCATTCACTCGGCAATGAACAACAACCACACCAACACCATGGCCCACCAACCCGTCACACCCCGCCCACACCCTCAGCCATGGGCCAAGGCCAACCCCGAGACAATAGTAATCCACTCGGCGCACCACGATACAACCGCGCTACTGCCCAGGGCTGCAATCAGTTGGCAGTCCGCCGAGGATCCGCGCGCCGGTCGCCCCCTGCCCCGCACCCACTTTCCCGCCATCCCGCCCAGTCGGCCAGCGCAACGACACGGAAGCGTCACGCCGCGCGCAGAGGCGGCGGCAACGACACGAGAGACTCGCGCACGCGAAGGCGACCTCTACACAGGGCCGAGATCGCCAATCCGAGCCGATAGCCGCCCCCTTGCAGGCGTTGCGGGTCTTCCCCCACCCCCCACCCACCGCCGGGTACTCCCATCCTGTGCACGCCGCCCTCCCCCCCCCCCCATCCCCGCCAACACCGCACAAGCCACACCAGCCCAAATCCTCCGATTTTCCTCCTCTGTTCTTTTCTCTTCTCCGTGGCAATCAACACTCCACCCACCCGCTACCGTCCTCTCGCCCTTGACTTCTTCTCCGACACGACTTCCGGGCCGCAGTTCGCACCATCCGCCGGCGCCCGTCAATCTGAACGCCTGCCGGCCTCCCGGCCTGGCGGCAGGCGTCGGCGCGATGAGCCAACTCCCGACGATAGCGGTTGACAGCGATTTCAGGAAAACCTTCCGCGCCGGAAGCGGCCGGACAGTTGTGGCAGAAGGGGCGGATCTGATGCGGTGGGGCGGCAAGCGTCGCGGCCGGTGCGGTGACGCCGGAAAAAGGGCGGGTTTGTAGGAAGGGGCTGAGCGAAGCGGTGGCTGTGGGAGAGCGGGAGGGAGAGGGAGAAAACGAGACTGGCCTCTCCTCGGGTTGCGCTTTGGAGAATAACGGAAGGGGTTGCGGAGGGCGGTAGGGGAGCTTACGTCGCGGCCCCGCTACGGTGCCGCAGCTACGGCATATCATACGCCCAACTACGGTGCTTTGCAGTGCTTGTTTACACAAGGTTTTTCTGGATTCCACAATATTGCAATATCTTGTAACTATCATAATTTAGCGTCCAGGTCCCTCCCATGTGCTATCACAAGACATATCTTGCATGAATGGGGCTTGGGCCACCTAGCAAAAGCGTGGAAGGCGATGTGAACCCCACAAAACTGTCGAATCCGAAAGAATATATACAAGGATTTCAATGCACACTAGAAGCCTTTCCTGCCAATGCCACTCGTGACGAGAGGTCTGTGCTTGTGATGCGTTCTCCGCAATGTACATGCATCCGCCCGAACACACATTTCGCGTGTTCACTACTTGGGATCTGTGATGTGGCTACTTGGGGTCAGGCAGTTATTGAGGTTTTCTGGAGTGAGAATTACGTAATTGGCCAAATCGACCTTTTGGGAGTGTTATTAAGAGCTTTCTGGTTCCAACGAGCTTTTAAACGCCCGATTCCGTTAAGAATTGACGAAGATATGGCCTTCTGAAGTCACAGTACTTAGGGCCAGGGGGTCGGGTGTTAGATGCTTGGAATTAGAGGACATTAGGTCGATCGTAGGTGAACGGTGGACGGCGACGATGTGCCTAGACGCGCACTTGTCTTGTCTTGTCATGATGTGACCGCGATTGTTGCGGCCCCGTCGGCAGCCGCTGGTTTCCGGAGTCGTGGGGGTCGCCCTGCCCTGCGGCTCAGCTGTTGGAGGTCAGCCGGCGCTCTCCACCTCGGATGGTGGGCGTATCCGGGGCAGTCGTTTCCTTGGTCGCGCGGTGGGCCCAATGCGCGACGGGGATCGATCCCCGGGGCCTGCTGTCGGCGAGTGGTGGCGGCGCAGCGAGGCGGTGGTTCGCTGGCTCGCGGGAGGCCAGAGAGTGGGCCAAAAGTGTTACAACGATTCACTGCATGCGCGCGCACATATCGCATGCGCGATGCCCGATCGCGGGTCCATCGCGGTCACATCATGACAAGGCAAGACAAGTGCGCGTCCAGGCACATCGTCACCATCCACCGTTCACCTACTATCGACCCATTGTCCTCTAATTCCAAGCGTCTAACACCCGACCCCCTGGCCCTAAGTACTACGACTTCAGAAGGCCATATCTTTGTCAATTCTTAACGGAATCGGGCGTTTAAAAGCTCGTTGGAACCAAGAAGCTCTTAATAACACTCACAAAAGGTCGATTGGCCAATTACGTAATTCTCACTCCAGAAAACCTCAATAACTGCCTGACCCCAAGTAGCCACGTCACATTACTCCCCCCTTGGGGTAGCTTTCGCCCCCGAAAGCACACTATCCCATACTAGTGTCTTCCTCGGGCTTGTCCCTCTTGATCATCTTCTGGAGCTCTCTGGCATAGGTAAAATTTCCAGCCGGTATCCAGGAGGCATCGTCAATACTCCACCCTGTCCATAACACCAAAAATTCCTTGTGCCTCCTGCCACTGGGTCCTGCCCATCTCCATCGCAGCAGCTTCTCAACTTCGTACGGTTCATCAGCTTCTGGCTCGATCTCGGCGCCATCTGACTCCTGTGGGGTGGACCATCTGGACGATCTGAATGGTCGAAGCAAACTGGTGTGAAAGACATTATGTATCCTCCACCCTTCTGGTAGCTTCAATTCGTAGGCCACTGATCCCACCTGACGGACCACAGCAAATGGTCCTATGAACCGTCGCTTCAGTTTGCGTACAGGTGCATTTTTCAACTGTAGATGCTCTGTACTGAGTAGCACCTGTTCCCCACTGTGAAACCTCTGTTCTCTGCGCCGCTGATCGGCCTGACGCTTCTGCCTCTGCTGAGCTTGATGAACTGACTGCATCGCCATTCTGAATGTCTTCTTCATTCGGTTGACAAAGACGTTGACACCCTCAATGTTGGTCTGGTCCATGTCCTTGATCAGGTCCAACGGGGTCACTGGCTCAAAGCCGTAGTTCAGAAAGAAAGGCGTGTACCCCGTGGATGGCGATGCGCTGCTGTTGATCACGAATTCCACCATGGGCAAGTATTTCTCCCAATGAGTGACTTCCTGACTGCCATGGATCGTACACCTGAGTACTTGCTCCACCACCCTGTTGGCTGCCTCTGTCTGTCCATCTGTCTGGGGGTGGTGAGCGCTGGACATCCTCAGCTTGCTACCCAAAATCTTCCAGAATTCTTGCCAAAACTTCGACACAAATCGTGGATCTCGGTCACTGACGATCGATCTGGGGATCCCGTGAAGTCGTCCAATCTGCTCCCAGTAGACTCGAGCTGTCTCAGCAGCAGTGATGGTCTGCTGGACTAGTACTAAGTGTACCATCTTGGTAGCTCGGTCTACCACCGTGAGAATCCCATCGTTTTTCCTTTCACTGACCGGTAGACCCATAATGAAGTCGAGGCTGACATCACTCCATTTTTCCTCTGGAAGTTGCAAAGGCTGAAGAAATCCTGCTGGCAACTTGTGGACACTCTTCTCTGACTGGCAGACCTCACATCCCAGCACAAAGTCTCTTACATCCACTGTGTGATCTGGCCAGTAGAAATTCTGCTGTAGTTTCTTGAGTGTCTTGTGGTAACCAAGATGTCCCGCATATGGTACAGTATGTATCTCTGCCATAATCTTCTTGCGGGCGTCCTCCACATCTGGCACCACCAATCTCTAAGGTTGCCGGTCCTCGGTGTTGTCCTTCAACTTGATTTCAATGAATCCATGGTTCAATCGGTAATCACGATTCCCAATCCTGGTGACTCGTCCTTGGGCAGATTCCAATTGGTTCAAAACTTCTGCCCATCTGCTGTCTTGCTTGTAGCCCTCTTTTATAGAGTTCCTCAAGTCTTCCTCCAGAGTAATCATGGTGCTGGTCACCAATAAAGAATGTAAAGAATTTTGCTCCCCACTTGCAGCCACCACTGCACCCCCAGGACTGGACTTTTTAAATATTTCGTCTAGTTTCTTCTGAATATCGTTTTCCCCGCTGTCACCCTCATGAAGACGAAGACGCTGGACCAATGACTCCTCTTCTGCACGCACATCTGCCATGCATCTCAACTCCTGAATACTCCTGCGCATCAGAAAATCTGCAGGGTTGTCCTTTCCTGGTATGTGGACAATATCACAATCGTAGCCCTGCAGAACCTGCACCCATTTCCATACCCTCCTGTTTACTGCAGGCTGGTTGGGCAGGTTTTTCAATGAGTCATGGTCTGTCTGGATGACGAAGTGGCGGCTGGCCAAGTAGTGCCGCCATTTCCCAACAGCCCAAGTGATGCCCAGCAATTCTCGTTCATATGCGCTGTACCGGGTCTCGGCCGGGTTGAGCTTTCTACTCTCATAGCAAACAGGTTGCAGCCCGTTGCCAAAGTCCTGCTGTAGTATACCACCCACTGAAACGCCTGATGCATCTGTGGTAACCACAAACTCCCGGTCGAAGTCCGGTAACTGCAGAACTGGTGCAGTCACCATGGCTGTCTTCAAACGATTAAATGATTTTTCTGCTTCGTCACTCTAAACAAAGGTCCTGTCCTTCTTCGTCAAGTCCGTCATGGGCGCTGCCAGTTCGCTGAACCACCGTATGAACTTGCGATAAAAACTGCACAGCCCCAAGAATGAACGGACATCGGTGACATTTT